TTGATATATGCAGTGGTGGTGGATCAACAACTGTAGCTCCGGTACATGATGGCTATGTTCTACAAAAGGTATTTTGAAGTGGATAAAATGATTTGCATAATCTTGGTTGAATATTATTTATTTATTTATGTGTCTTATGCTCTAGTTATGAAAGTATGGGATAATCAAAGGATTAATGTTTCAGATTTATGTTTTCATGTCAGGCTGTTGTATCTTCTCCTGTTGGTGGCGAATATCTCACTGATTGCTTGTTAAAAAGTTTGGAGAGCAAAGGTATCAAGGTACAGTTGACAATAACTCTGATTCTATAATATCCCTATTTTGTTTTCAATGGCAATCCATTTTGTAACCCTTCTTTGGTGGCCATTTCATTTATCAATGAAATTATCAGATGAAGTATATCCCTAATATACTGTGTATAACTGCTGAAATTTACCTTCCTTTATGCTCTCAGATAATGCCAAGATACTCTTTCAAGAGAAAGGAAATACGACCAGGAGAATTTCAGGCATTACCTTTGAACTATTCATTTTATAAAATAATAGAAATCTTTGGATTGTGGCATTTGTAGTGTATCACCAATACAAAGTAGTATCTTACTTCAAATTATTATTTACTGTTTTTAATTGTTATTTGTAATTATTTCTTTGACATTTCATTTATCTCTGTTGTAGATTGTGGAACTTGATTTCCCTAATACAACTGAAAGTTACAAATTATACTCACAGGTATTTTATTGATCATAAATAATCTCATTTATCTTGAATGCTAGCTCAATTTTGAGTCGGATGCTCTATGAATGACAGAGGGTAATTGCTAGTGATATTAAAGAATGCGTATGTCGAGCGCCAGATACTCCTTATGATGGTTTGTCGTTCCTTATTTTCTTTATTTACTAGAGTTTATTGACTTTGTCTATTAAATTTATCTTTGCCGTGAAGCATCTCATGTCTGTCGTATTGTTGGACATCTCATATATAGCTTTCATATATTGTTAGTCATCTTTTTCTTTAAAGGAGTGTTCTAGTTTAATCTTCTGAGCTTGAGGGGATATCTTATATTAAGTTTCAGCTTACCATTCTTGCATCATATTTATTTCATAGGCTTCTGCATGTTTTGTGCTAATTGGTCTTGTATTATTTTTCTATCTATGCAGAAAGTGCATATTCAAATATCCCAATGACGCCATATGAACTTCCTGATGGCCAGTAAGTCGCTCAATAGGGTTTTGGATGATTATATTTTCAAGCATTGGTCGATGCTTTATTGCCTTCACTTATGGTTTCCCCTTTTCCTGCATTGCAAACTTTTGGTTCTTAGCAATGCAACTTCTCCTAGTCTCAGTACTTTATTTTTATTATTTTTCTTCTTTAGAAAGTAATTTCGTTCTCCGTCATGCTTGAAACAGGACAATTGAAATTGGGGCTGATAGATTCAAGATTCCCGATGTTCTGTTTAACCCTTCGTTGGCACAGGTGAGCGACTTAATTTCCATATCTTTATGAGGATGGAATGTTGATTTGATGTTGAATGTAGGCCGTCCAGCATACACATTTTTTATGAGCTTAGAGCAACAGTTCTTCAAAGCACTATTAAATACAGATTATGTGACCTCAGAAATTATTACTATTGTTTGCAGAAATTGAGTATTGATCGAGTGGAATGCATAATGGCTAAGCTACATAATGATGATCCTATAAGATCCTATATGATGCTTCCGTCCTTCACTTCTATGTTCAAATAAATCAACGGCTTATTAATTTCTATCATAATTGGATGAATGGAAAATAACAATTTTTTTATCTTCCCACTTTTATTTCATATTTTTTTAAAAAATATTTCACTATTTGATTTGACAAGTCTCATCTTATACTTGCCTATGCATGTAGAATAGGTATATAACTCAAAAACTCTCCGACTTGTGTTATTTTAACCAATGCCCTTTCTTGAGCCATCAGTCGTCTTGATCCTTAGATTAATGAATAGCTGCTTAATATTGTTGCTCCTCTTGCTCTTACGCTCTCTTATGTCATTATTACTAGACTATTCCTGGGGTGGAAAGTTTCACCGAGACAGGTCGCTCAGTTCAGGGATTGCCACACATGGTATATTTGTCTTTTTACTATCATATTTTCATTATTTGATAAGCATCTTTATATTTTTGCTCCTCCCATTATAATTTCTAAAACATCAATTATGTTCTACCACGAGTACAAATCGAGTTGAGTTATGTCTTTTATCTGTGGAGGTATATTTGCATAGGTTGGTTTAATTGTAGACTTAAGCCAATAATTGAATAGTGATGGTTGGTTTGCTATATATAAGAACCAGGTATTTTTGAAAATCAGTTTAACTAAAATGATCGGTTTGGTTTTCCCAATTCTGGGTTTATTGAGTTAGTTTTTCATTGCCTATTTTGAGCTTAAATTTCTAATAAACATTCAAATTTCAAAGGATTTTGAACCAAGTAATTGGTATCGTTTTTCTTTTTCAACAAGTTGTTTGGAATTTAGATTCTTTTTAAAAGAATCCATACTCCTAACTACAATAGAATTTCCAACATTCTTTGTCCTCATGTTAATTGAGGCTATTCTGTAAAAAAAAAAAAAAGAATAATAATAAAAAAAAAATCAATATTCTTGGTTTGATCCTTTATAAGCTGTAAACCGAACTAAATCTAGAGTTCTTAATTCTCACATAGTTACACTCTTGAAAATTGAAGAACCAAATATAGCGTAAAAGTTGGATCAAACGAGTTCCATTTTTGGTTCTTCAGTTTTCATGATTTTATGCACACTTTTACACGTGTAATTCTTTAATCTCACTTAATTTGATAATTATTTCCACATTCTTAATCCTTTCAATTTTTAGGCTCTGCTCAATGTTTTGTTTAGGGGTTTTTATACTAATTAATAAGTAAAATCATGTATCTTTAGTCAAGAAGATAACTTTAACTATGCTTTTTATTTCTGCAGGTAATCGAGAGTATAAATAAGTGTGATGTGGATATTCGCAGAGAACTCTTTAGTAGTATACTGGTATAGTTCAGTGTTCTAATTTCATTTATCTCTCTTTTTATTATTTTTTTTAAAACTTCATTTTTTGAGGCATCTGGTTGGCGAAAATGCTACACTTTTTTTAGTTTCTGTTTCTGTCTGTTTTCTATTTTAAATGACGAGAAATGATAAAATCAGTTCATCTTATTTTGGTATGGCTCATGCATTTGAAACATTTCAATGTGGCACACAAGACTTTTCATTCTGGGCAGCGTTCCTCTAACCTTTCAACTTATTTTTGCTTTCTTTTTGCATTTCCGTCGTCATAACCAGTGTGGTTACTGCAATCATTTTCTTTCACTTAACTTGATCTCTTTTTCTACCTTATCCAGCTTGCTGGTGGAACAGCTTCAATGCAGCAGCTCAAAGAACGACTTGAGAAAGATTTGTTAGAGGTATATCAATTAATGAGTAGAGATCCCCGTGTACTTTAATTGGGAGGGAGGTGGGCACACGTTTGAGATAATCACTGATGAAAATTTTCCCGAACTTGTAGGAGTCTCCTCAAGCTGCTAGGGTTAAAGTATTGGCGAGTGGAAATGCAACTGAAAGAAGATTCAGGTATGGTCATGCCCCTCGTTTCTTATGCTTATAGGAATAATAATCAACCTTTTGTATATGCTACGTCAATGATTCAGTGTGCCATAGCTATGATGATTAAACAGAATAGTTGTACCGATAATTTTACAAGGAAAAGTTGTTCAAAATATGAGAATAACAATTGGCGTTGTTGTGTCCCGTAATATTTTTGCATATATTACTTTCCTGCTATGCTATTTTTCTGAGTTCTGGTGATAAAATCCAATGCAGCGTCTGGATAGGAGGGAGTATATTGGCCTCTCTTGGTTCATTTCAGCAAATGTGGTTCTCCAAATCCGAGTAAGGCTCAAATATTCATGTTAATAGGTTTCACTTTCAAGCAATTAAAAATCATATTAAACTCCTGCCTTGGTATCATTAATCGCCACTTCCATTGTGTGCTTCTAACAGGTACGAAGAACATGGGGCTTCCTATATTCAAAGAAAATGCCCGTAGATGTTAGATATCATCCTTGGAAATGATAAATTACGAAAGGTTCATTTCCTGCTCCACGGAAGAACAAGGATTATCTTGCTGGCTGTTTTGTTCAAAGGTTCAAACTAGCAGGATTCAATTTATCCTAAATTTGTATGTTTTTTCTTTTTTATGATTCCAGCTGTTCCGGACGCTTGATCCGGATGTAGGTTTCTTCCCAGGGACAACAGGCCATCATTAACTTTCAATTTCGTTAGGCAACTCCTGTAGAAATTATTGTATAACTCCCCAGTCGGTCGCTTGTTTGCAGTGCAGGATAAAACGCCATCTATCCCTTGTTATACAATGCTAGTAGATAGGTTTGAAATTCACTCCCATCTTTTACATAATTTGCTGTTTTATTTGTATATTTGAACTTCAGACACCTTAGCTTATCTACTTTCACAACACAGTAGAGTACAACGTTGCCTTCAACGGTGTGACACAAGCCATTTGCCCTTTAAAAAGATGGCAATCAAATTAATCCCAACGCCTATGAACTATTGAACTATTGAAGCCTTATGAATCAAACAATTTGTTTTAGTCCAAAAGTTGAAACAGGAAAAAGTTATCAATAATTGTAGTGCTGGAAAAGTTAACCATCAAATTCTGCACTAATTATTTGATATTAATGATTATTAGCATGTTTAATTCATATATTGTAGGGGAGTAATTTGATGCACTAATTATTTTATTTAAATGATTAATAATATATTTAAAACCATCCTTTTTAATCCAACAATTGCATATGTGAGAAAGGCAATCATCAAGATTTAAATATGACCTATAATTGAGCTACGTTTGTATGGATTAATTTAATAAGTTATTAAATGTATATTATTGGACAAGAAATAACTGCTATAAGAAATGAATTATTATCCATCCAAATATTTCGTCGTTGTGGCTGTTGCTGTGGCGCGCTTCCATGGCCACTACCTTCCTCAGCTGCTGCCCGTTCGTTCGCCACCACTCTCATTTTCGCAAGTCCTCCTCCTTTTGCTGCTCCAACGATGCCGAGGCTTCATCGACGTCGTCACTACCGAAATCAACTAGGTGCTCTTACACCCGTCGATGGTACAACCCCTCCATCCGAAGGAAATTGAACGAAGGTGTTGAAATTGTGCGCCATTGGATTGAGGCGGATCAACCTTCCACTTCTGAAGGTACATCTATTCAAGTGTCCAAACTCCTTAAACGCGATGCTATTTGGTATTTCGCCATTATTTGCTGGGCGGGATTGATAATCGAGTAGCACTGATTGATTTAGTACTATATACTTCGAATGTTTCTTTCTTGGATTGAATTTCTAGTTTCCTCAATGAGGATGGATCACTAACTCCATGTTCATATAATCATATGAGTACGATCTTACAGGCGTTCTCGCATACTCTTCCCGCGTTTCAATGAACTCATTACCTTTATTCTTCTTCCAGTGATTGTATAAGTTGTGTTAGTGAAGTAACAACCAAGCATCATCACCGTTATGCTAATAGCTGGTATTAACATAAAAATTATTGAAAATAAAAATCGTAGATTTTAGGATGTCACATGCTATAGAATTAGCATATCTTAATACTCGAACGATATTGGCCAGAATTCTCAAGTTTTCATTCGAAGAGAGTTAGGTATAGACGAATAACATGTATTTTTCAAATTGATAAGAATAGCGGTAGCTTGTCAAATATGGAGGTTCGGGGTATCTAATCTGATCGGCTAGAATCTCCTTTTGTTTTGCGCAATTCATCTTATATTCCTTTGTGATTCTTCTTCTTGATAAAATTACTTTGTTTAGTAAAAAAATAAGCACATTATTTATGTGTGATTAGAGTAATATCAGAATAAAAGGTAGTCTAGAAGTAGAAACAAAAAAATTTAGAAGGATCAAGGAGAGAGGTTCAGAGGGATTGGACTATAGTAACATAAAAAAAAGTATAGTGGTCAGCCTTTGTCAATTATACAACATAGATTCTAGAAATTCAATATGGTAATTGATGAATAAAATATGGTAGAACCACAAGAAGGCTATAGCATTTCATATGGAATTGGCACCTGGCTGACTTTCTTTAGTTGTGGTCAAATGTATTAGGGAATGCTATTTTTTATAAAAGGAGATCTGTATTTCAAATCTAGCATGTCAATAATTTCTTTTATGCAATTTGATGTTCCAGAAAAATTTAGTGTAGTGTCATACAACATATTGGCGGAAAGAAATGCATGGAAACACAGGGGTTTATACACCAACGTTCCTTTACCGTATTTGAAATGGAACCACCGTAAGAGAGTTATATGCGAGGAACTTCTTATGTGGAACCCCGATATAATCTGCTTGCAGGTGAGCTTGTTCTTCTCTCTGTCTCTCTCTCTCTTTTCCATCTCCGTGTCTCTGCACGCTCCTATAGATTACTGTAATGAAAGCTGAAATTGTACTTGTTTTTCAAATGCTGTTAGGAAGTGGACAAGTTTTTTGATGTTTCAGAAATCATGGAGAAAGCAGGCTATGTTGGATCATACACGGTTAGTGTTCATTTTCAGAATCTGATGCGTTCCATCCACTAGAATGATTAGGTGAAAGTAATGTGTTACCCACATGATTAACGATTGTACCTTGCTCCATATTTTGACTTGGGACTTTCAAACTCCACTTGTACTCCACGTACTTTTGCTGCTTATTGTATATGGTCCTAAAGAATAATTTGAAATGGCAGAGACGCACTGGAGATGTTATTGATGGATGTGCTATATTCTGGAAAGCTCACAAGTGAGGAAGCTATGGCTTTTATGATATATATAGTATGAAACATCTCAAGTATATTACTTTATAGGCTTATGTAAATGATATAACATCCATTATTCACTTGGTAAGGTTTCGACTGATAGATGAAGAGAGCATCGAATTCAAGAGGTTCAATCTTCGTGACAATGTTGCTCAACTTTCTGTGCTGGAGGTAGAAATTTCTCATCATCTGGCCGTATGCTTGAGCTGTCGTCATTTTTAATTTGTGGAGTATCAATCTGTTGTGAAATATTATTTATCGAAGAAGATTCAATTTCATATAGTATTGTATATACCGCTCTAAATTTTCTCAGAAAGCTCAACTTGAGGTAGCATGTATTCCAGTTTTCTTATGATATTCACCTGAAATTGCAGATTTAAATTTCTTTTAGATCAACTTCCAAACATAACTTTTCTATATGCAGGCAGATGTCCAAAGTTAAATCAAGAAAATTAATGATTGGTAACATCCACGTGCTTTACAACCCAAGCAGGGGGGATGTCAAATTAGGTCAAGTAAGTCTCAAGCAAAATAAGAACAATATCGATACTCCTTGATTGTGAATCTTCATTCTAGACATATTAAATGCTTGCATTCAAGCTAAGGTCATTCTCTCTAGTGATTCCACACATTCCTTTTGTGATTTCAAATTGTATTTAGTTTCTTTATTTCCAAACACTGAAGGGGAATAAAAACCATCATACGGAACTGGGAATGTGAAGATCAAACCTCAATGTGGCGATGAAATACTGTTCTAAAAGTTTTAAATTTTATTTATCCCTTTCATAGATTAAAATAATTTCCTTCAAGACTTGATATTCAAGCAGGAATTTGGGAGCTATTTGCTGTTAGAATCTAGTTAGTTCTTCTTTTTTTTTTTTTTTTCTTTTCTTTTCTTTTTTAGGTAACGAATTCCTATGTGTGTTGGCATAAAGCAGAGAGAAGTTGCCGTATTAGGGGAGGCTATGAAAAGGAATTTTACTCGACAGTTTTGCTTGTTATGTCAATATTGAATCACATCAAGTTTTTAGCTGTTCTTTGACAATGATAGATAGCAAATGAAAGATTATCTTATTTTTCTTGTTTTGGGACTAAATTGCAGATTCGTTATCTGTTGTCGAGGGCAGAGATTCTTTCAGAGAAATGGAGCAATCTTCCTTTTGTTCTTGCTGGTGATTTCAATAGTACTCCAGAGGTTTCATACCAAAATTTTACTTATATTTAGGTATCATTTGGTTTCTCAAATTTTTACTTTTAACACGAAGGTCTAACCCTTTACTGCTTGTTGACAGAGTGCAATATACAAGTTCTTATCATCATCCGAGGTGCACCTTTTAATCCGTGATTGCTTAAATATAGTCTTTCATGCGCTAGAATAAAGTATTACTTCTAGTAATTATATGTTTTAGTGTTGGATCTAGTAGTTTGATTTAGCATGTCATTGACAGCTAAACTTCATGTCCTATGACCGAAGAGAGTTATCCGGGCAATCAGGATGCCATCCTGCTGAAGTTCTGGGTGTAAAAAAGGAATCCTGGAGACCTTTTTCCTGCTTGGGAAGGTACAAAATATTCAGGATAATATATTGGATTTTATGGCTTCATTCTCACATATTTAATTATTTTCTCGTATACAGCTGATGGCATAAAAGATTATGTCTAGACTAATGTTTTGTTAGTTTCACTCAAGTCTATTTAGTCAACTTGTATGGCTTCCTTTTTAGTCAAACAAAAGGTTTCTGGACTGAAGAAGAGGTGAAAGCTGCTGCTGGAAGTGCCGACTCCCAAGTGGTGGGGAATCCCTTTAGGCTTACCAGCTCCTATGCTACACTGAAGGTATGGTTTATCTGAACCTCCAGAGTTGTTAGATACAATATTTTATTGGCTATTAGTTAGTTGTTTTAATTCGGTTTTCTTGCCTCAAAGCCTGAAATTAGGATCTCCTTTTTAAACAAAACATCATATATCATCCAGGGTCCTACTACAACACGAGGAGCCACTGGAGAACCATTGGCTACTTCCTACCCCTCCAAGTTTCTTGGAACTGTGGATTATATTTGGTAAGCTGCTGTGCTTAGTAGATGAAAAGATTTTAGTAGTAGTTTTTAACTTGTAATGTTGCTGCTGTTGTTCATGTGATAATCCTTATTGCCCTTCATGTAGGTACTCTGATGGTCTTATTCCTACACGGGTTGTTGATACCGTTCCCATTGATATTCTTCTGAGAACAGGCGGCCTTCCATGCGAGGTAGTTGAAAGTTAATAGTCCATTAAGTGTGTTCTTTATTCATTTTTCCGATAACATACTGAAAATACCTTTTTGTAATTTAATCTAATTATTTTGAAAACAAAATTTATAAACATCGTAGTCTAACATAATTTGATCCTCCTTTTACAGAAGGTGGGCAGCGATCATTTACCCTTGGTTTCTGAAATTGCCTTCACAAAAACATCAGGATGAAAGCAATACCAATAGCCAATAACTACATGTAAGTGAGGGTTCAGACTAAAAAGCAAAATAGGTATCAAAGTAAGTGCAAAGAATTGGTGGACTGCCTTAATACATATATATGAACTCTGCTCATTTGTGTTTAGATAGAGAATTGGAAATAATACATGCAGGTATTCTTTGTAAACTATAGGTGAAGCAGATATAGATCATTATATTCAACAGCTCCAGTTCGAGACTTGGATTATGTTGTATTTATATTCTGCCCATCTGTCATCTTAGTCTTTTGAATCTGTATTTAAGTTCTTTATCCACAAAACATAACGGTAAAATTTGTTAGACGAACACGACTCTCTACAATGGTATGATATTGTCCCCTTTAAGCATAAACTCTCATGGCTTTGCTATGAACTTTCTCAAAATGTCTCATCTCAATGGAGAGAGTATTCCATGATTATAAACCCATGATCATTTCTTAAATTAGTCGATATGGGACTTTCCTCTTCTAACAAAATTGACTGGTGCATGTTCAGAAAGTTCAAGTTTCATCCCAACAATACAGTTAGGTGAGGTACTTTGATGACATTCATACTAACGGTTTTAAACTCGTTTACAGATACATAAACTTTAAATTTATAATTTCGTTTCATATTGCTTTTTTCAAACATGCATAAACAATTATTAAATTTTATTTAACAAAATATTAAATTGTAACAAATAAAATTTACTATGACTATTTTGTATAAATTATTTTTACCATAGACACATTTTAAATTTGAATGTCTGTGATAATACAATGAAATTTATTTGTAAAAGTAATGTTTATAAGTTTAATTTAAAAAAAAAATTGTTATTAATGAAAGCTTAAATAGTTTTACAGGTTAAATTTTGATTATTTAGATAGTAATTTATTTTCTTTAAAAAAAAAGAAATTCAATTCAATAAACCAGTATCATGTTGTCAAAATATGCATAGCTTAATCGTAAACTGTTTACTACCCGACAGTGTGAGGTTCAGACCGAATCGGGTTTCCGGATCATATCCATATCCATATCCATATCTTACCCGTTTGTTGTCCACAGTACACTTCCAAAGGATCTCAATTTGAGAAGGGAAGGGAGCTGTGAAATTTGGAAAATGATGGGCAGTTCTCGTACATGGGCTTATATGCGGATCATCGCCGGTACCATCGTCGGCGGCGTTCTTGGCTTCTATGTAATGCACCGCGTTGAAGTTGGCTATAAGGTGAGCTCGCGGCTATGATTGTGGATTTCTTCTACTTTCTTTTCGTTTTTGTTCTGATTTGTTTTGGGGGCTGATGCAGGAGAAGATGAAAGAAAGATTAAGACAATACGAAATCGAACTAAAGAAGAAAGAGCAAATGAAAGAACTTGAAGACTCGTCATAGTGTGAGTGTCGTACATTTTTCCTATCTGTCCCGCTGGTTGGATTTTCTGATTATAGAGTTAAAATTGAAGTTCGGAGGCTGTTTGCATCGGCTTTAGAAATTGACCTCATAAGAACACTCCATCTGTAACGTTGCGTAAGACATTCCATTCAAGTGTTCCCCAAACCATATAAACTAGGTCACCGGAGTATAGAATGGATCTGGCAATAAAATAATGTAGCCTGACAGGAAAAGAATTGGTTTGAATTGTGTTTCTCATTTCTAAATTTTTCATTGACTAATGCCCTGTGTTTTTGTTGTGTGACTGGTTTATGATTGATTTCTTTGAACTATGTAAATCTAAGCTGATTAGTGTCAAGCGGAGTTTTGGAAGAAACATCATGTTCATGTATATGATAGGCTTTAATCTTGTTTCATGAACTTCTTTAGATGCTTTAGCTATAACGATGAAAGAATAGTATATCTGGATAACGGAAAAGGTTTGTTTGACAGTTGATAATTCATGAAATTCTTTGTAACTCTGTGTGTATGATTTATCTTTGATTGTTGTCTAGCTTAGTGTGTTTCGTTTATGGGTTCTTCTCTGCTGCTTTGGTTGCCAGGGAAAAATTGCTGTGGTTCCTATGGTCCTTATTTGTTCTTCATCATCTGAATCATGATTAAGATTGTTCTTCTTATTTAATTTTTGTATGAGAAGCAGATATCTAGACTTCAAGATACTTTCACCTCCTGTTTTAAGTGGCTTAGCCGCATCAGTAGACTTATTAAAATACATATTACCTAGATGTTCATGGCCTGTAAGACGTAAACACAAAAGTAAAAGAACTCAGAATTTTACTAAAAATATAAACACAAATCTAGATGTTCATGGGCTAAATTTTAACTTAATATATATTTGAGCTCAAGTATGAAGTTATGGACCTGTCACTATCAAAACTTAATAAACTTAATATATATATATATATATATATATTTTTTTTTTTTTTTGCACTTTTAAGATATATTATTTTATAAATATTTTACAATTTTATTAACCTATGAATTTTGATTAACATAAATAAATTGAGTATAGAGAAATTCTAAATGGTGTTGATAAATTAGTGTTTTTGCAGTTGCGGGATACATTATCTGATGCTGCAGTCTCTCGGAAGTTTGGGGAATTTTTTGTCAACTGGGCTTTGTCCTTCAAAATTTGAAGCTGTTTGAGTTTGTCACTATTCAATTCCCTGCATTTTCGTGTGGCAGGGCGTTTGAAATCATGCGAGTATATACCCCCATTCCACCACTACCTTAGAATTTTTTTTTATGGCTTGAACTTGTTGGTGAATGTCCATCGTGGCGTCAAATTCAGAATTTTTATTAGAAAAGCTAATGGATCCTTAGCGCCCTCGATTAATGCTCATACTTCATTGCAGTTGTACTGTCATAAACATGGGTGAATAAAAATTGGATTTCATATTCATATATTCGTCCTTGAAATGCTGAAAAAGGGCGACTTTTCAGGTCTCGTTATATTTTTATATTGGTATATACTCGTCATNATACGGCCTGATGGATCATAAGCGAAAGGAAAAGTTGAAATGTAAACTTTACCTTTTTTTCTTCTTTGTTATGCCTCAAATTTCTTATTTTGATCCGTGAATCCAAAAATCTGACTAGAAAAAGGAAAAAAGAATCGTCATTGATGCAAGGGTGGAGGTGCCATTGGATAAGCAAGTGGCATGACATAAGGAGGGTGGGGATGGATTCCATGAGGAAGCATCACTGGAGTGCCAACCGCCGATGCCATGTGCCCTGGACGAGCCGCCACTGGATGTCCAACAGGTGCCCCGTACATGCCGATTCCGGGCAGATGCTGCTGAGGCCCGTGCTTCCCTGGTGGCCCCAAAGCCGGCGGATTACTCTGGTTAGGGCCGTTTGTCTGGTGGCCGGTGATCGGAGATTGATGGGACATGACGTCACCACCGCCATTATTAACTGAGGTTATGTCATGAATACTTGATCTTCTTCTATCTCTGTTCATTGAGTTCAATCGTATGAAATATTTCTGTGCATGACTGGCCACTTGTGTCGGTGTCCTGGATATAACGAAGTTTCTTGAAATGCTTCTCCAATCCCCTTTCCCAAACTTGTCTAGACCCAGTAGAAATAACCTGAAAATAGCAATGGTTAAGAATCTCTCTCAATTATGTTGTGCACGCAGAATCTCCGTATAGAGGAGGCAAGATGGTGGCATTCCTAGTTCATTTCGCGCAGAACTGAACACAAGAAAAGGTATTTATTTATTTGTTATTTTTTAAATCTAAATTGATTGATAAATTATATAGCTCTCATTGAAATGACCCAGTTTTCGAAGTAATTATTCCATGGCTGAAGTTTGTTGAAAATACACTAACCTGTGTTCTTCCTCTGTCCATGGGATCCCTTTCTTTCTTTCTTGTTCAGACCTGGATCCACCCTTTGTGGCTTGGGCAGATGAATCGTGGGAGAGCCTAGAAAACCCACTTCCAAAACCAGAATTGGGTATTTTATTACTATCAGAACCAGTAGCTCCATGAGGATGAAGATAATGATCCTTCGCCTTGGTAGAGGCTTTAGTTGCTTCTTCTGCAACAGAATCATAGTTGGGAATAGGAATTTGGCCGGACTCGATAGCACCGACGTCTTCCACCAGCATTTGGTAGTGCTGTTTCAAGTCTTCCATGTTCTTGGTTGGAACCATTGAAGCAATGTTTTCCCACATCTCTTCTGAGGTTTTATTCCCTTCCAATTCTCCAGCCCAACGCGTGGCTATGGCGTTTTCAAACGCTTTATCTTCTTCTTTAGTCCAGGTAGTAGCTGATCCAGTTGACATGGTGCAGTGATGTTATTTAAAACCAGAGGGGAAATTGTGTTTAGTTTTCTGGGGGAAGAGTCTGGTTTGAGCCAAAAGATAAAAGGGAGAGAGAAAAGTGGAATGTGGTGTAGGGCAAGGGAAGGTGGTGAGTGGTGAAACTACGAATTGAGAGAGGACCACTTTTTGGAAGTTGAAGTGACATGTTCTTTCTCATTTTCATTTTCATACCCCCATCAATAATCATACTTCCAGAAGCTTTAGAGACAGAGGGGGGGACTTTATGGTCAAACATCAGCAATCATGGAGTAGGTAGTGAGAATCTTAAAAAAGAACACATATTAAACCATAATCTTTCTCTCTTTTTGCAGTTCCCTACAGAAGGAAGAGAAAAGAAAAGAAAAGGAGAAGAAACAAGAGTTTGCCACACGACTGTCGTCATCGTCGTGGTTGGAGGCGTGCAGGTATTTTTCTTTTTCTAACTCGCCCCATGAATCTCTAGCTTCAAGTCTGAATAACACACCATATGAACTCCAACTACGAACTTGACATTGTCTAGTATTACCGTAGTATGAAGAAGAAGAAAAGTGTGATATTGATGAAATAAGATCAGATATCATTTAATTACGAGGGACAAATTTTTCCTATTAATTGGGATACGAGTAATGTATATGTGCATGAGCATGGAGGTAAGAAGTTGGATCATTAATCGAAAAAAGGTGTCAACTGGAACATAATTTAACTATATACAACTTGGATCCAAATTCTACAGCATTATTATGCTGAATTTGGTAATTTCAATAAATTAAAAAGTCTACTAATTTACAATTAATTGATTTACAATTTTGTTATATCTTTAAAAATCTTTTTTTTTTTTCAAAAAGAAAAAAAAAAAAGAAAAGATGAAGCTTAATGTCTTAGTCTAATTATTAATTTTCTTTATGAAAAACCTTAAATAAAAAATATATGCTCAATCTTGTAATATATTTATATGTGATGGAATTTACCCAATCCATACAAGCTCTAGGGTTTCGAAAGGTTAAATGACCAAAACAACCCTCACATCTTAGCAATTCATGGGGGTATATCCGTCTTCACACATGATCAGAAGCCCTAGTTATGATACGCATTTTTCTCCTCCCCATTTGCATTGGTCGATTCTGCAGTCCGGCGGCTTGTCTACTATTCTTCATAGTTTTCTCTGATCACATCTTCCCTCGTTTAAGGTATCTATCGACTTCATTCTTCGATCCGTGTTGATCTCTCTTGTTCTTTGTTCTTTGTTCTGTTCAGAATCCATTGCATTTGCAGTTCGTGTTTGAATGCTCTGCGAGATGGTTGAAAAAGGACTATTTATTTTTCAGTTTTTTTTTTCTTTTTTTGTTTTTCTTTAGTCGTCAGTGTTTTCATTAACTAGAATGAATCTTTCGGTCGTTGCTTTTATGATTTCATTTTAAACGATTGAATTCTTACTGTGAAGAAGATTTTCGAGTAATTATTGAACGAAGAATCGTAGTACTGTTGAGTTTCGTATTAGGCAGATAATTATTGAGATTAGGGTTGTTTAGCATTGCAGTTCTTAGTCTTTCAGGAGCCTGTTTACGAGTTGAAAACCTTGCTATGCTATGCAGGCATATTCCTCGATGTCTTGGTTGAAAATATTGAAGTAATTAGTATTGTAACTTTCTGAAAGTTGGTCTCTTCCACACTTAACATTAGGTTGTTCTGGACTGACATCAATAAGCTTTTCTGTTTTCACTAGTTTACCCGTTCCTATACCTTAACATTGGGTTGTTCAAGTTGAGAAGTGGAGCTGTATAACTAGCAATTGGTGTACTTAGAAGGGGTAATTGTAAAGGAAATTTTTTTTTGGATTGTAAGATTTGTTATTGGTACTTTTGTGTAGGAATGGAATCGCAGATCAAGCATGCTGTGGTGGTCAAAGTGATGGGTAGAACTGGATCAAGAGGGCAGGTAACTCAAGTGAGAGTCAAGTTTCTCGATGATCAAAATCGTTACATTATGAGGAATGTCAAGGGACCAGTGAGGGAAGGAGACATTCTTACCCTGCTGGAGTCTGAGAGGGAAGCTAGAAGGTTGCGTTAACGTTGATGGGGACTCTGTCAAGGTCCCAGTTCTCCGATTTGCAGTTGTTGAATGTAGAATGGCTGTTTTCATATTCCCCTAATTGTGTGATTTTAGTGACTAGCTTGTCCAAGACATTTGGATCTAAGGCAGAATACGTGAACTGGATGAGTTATTTAATGGAGTTTTGAAAGCATCAATTTTGCTTATTATGGAGTTTATGTCAAATTTTGTGGTTGTTTACAGACTGCGTGGTATTTTTGGTGTTATTCAAGTCATGCATACAATGAAATTCTTGAGTTAAGTTGGTATGCTAACTTTCTTGGGAAGGTTAAAATAAACAATTTTGATGGTACCTTTGAATATGAGAAAAATGATTGTATATCCATAAAACTCAAAACACTTGCAGCTGAAACTATTTGCTTTAACGGTACAAAAGTATAATATACATATTACAGGTTGACATTATACTCCCTTTGAAGTGATGAAGACAGTACAAAATTAGAAACTCTAGTAAAAGAAAAGCTAACTATCATCTCCTGAAAGAATTTTTGATGATCCATAAGTTCAACACCGCCATATCTACCATCCTTTGCCATCTGTTTGTTTGTAGAAACATGTTGTTTTTAACACCATGATATGCCATATAATTCATCCCAACACTGTAAGAGGATGGATCTTAAATATAAAGTGGTACCTCCTAAAACATTTGCAGCAGCCACAATGGGGGAAGAAAATCTCCCATCCAGTGATGGAGTGTACAAACTAATGAGGGCTGCCTCTAAATATGAGAAAAAACCCCTTTTTGCCTGAGGCTACTTGATTCCGAATATGTGTATTTCAGTACTATCTTGGTGATTTAACACCAACTTGAACAAGCGGCCGCCCTGGAAGTTTAGTTAATTCGGGGCTTCCGCAAAGAAGAGATGCCCTCTGTGGATTAAGAAGCAAAAGTTGATGCATGTCTTTAGGAAGCACATTGAAAACGGTCAGCAGATCCCCTTTCAGTTTCTGGCAAGTTGCCGCAGAGTCTGAATAAGCCCTCCTGGATTCCTGCAGCTGAAGATGGGGTTTGAACAACCTCTTACAAACAAGAAAAAAAATAAATAAACTTGCAGTGTCGATTGCAAATTATAGATCCTCTTCAACCACTACAGTTTAAATGATCAATGCACAAATTGAAAGAGTTTTTGGTATTTTTACGTGAGATTCCACATCTATTGGAGAGGAGAACGGAACATTCTTTATAAGAGTGTGGGAATCTCTCCCTAGCCGACGCATTTTAAAACCTCAAGGGGAAGCCTATAAAGAAAAGCTCAAAGAGGTGGGCTTGGGCCGTTTCAGCCATTCCTCCTTTTCTTTTAACCTATCTCATTCTTGATTTCTCGTATAAAGAAATACTAAATAACACGTCACTTGCTATGACGTCGAACATGCATTTCAATCATAGTTATAAGCCAAAGTTCGAATGACATTGAAGCCTAGACCTCAGTTCCTCAACAATTTTGATTGAAGTATCTCCAATGGACTCATAAACTTATCTGCTGAACACCTATTTGCGGGTTATAAGTCTACTCAGTGCCACAGAGAACACTAAGAAATGATTTTGGAAAAGCAAGAACAAGAAATGCTAGGCTGTAAATGAAATATGCCGCATAGTCACTTGCGTCAGTAAGAATCTAGAAGAAATATCAGCTAAAAAGTAGCACAAGGTATAAAAACATGAAGGGAAGGAAAACATAAACCACCAAACAAATCAATATACTAAATATTTAGAAGAAAAAACTTGCACATCTATGAAGCATAGTAACACAAGGAGAAATGTTATCCTTTAAAATGGTTCCCAATAAGGCTAAATCACATTCCTACAGATTATTCAATGACGTCAACAAGTTCTGCCTTCATCACCATCTATTTTTCATCAAGCCCAAAATGTTCTTTAAAATCACATGAAAACATCACGTATTGTCCTAATATCTTTGATAGGGGTCAAAAATCCACCAAAAAAGTAACTTATCCTCATCGAAGTCATTCTATCCCTTTCAAAAGAATGTATAAAAGATCTTCCAAAAGAACAAAAAAGCTGTATTTGGAATCAAAATAGTGACCAAGGAATTGTTGGGAGAAATACCTCTATTTCTTTTAGAAGATGTCTTTCAATAGCATTAAATAAATCGACAACTTCCAATTCAGGCATTTTAGACACAAGCCGAGGTACATCAGCACTCATTCTCGCTTGCCTCCAAAGTCTATGCTGTTCTTGTTCTGCAACAGCACGCCTTCTCTGAAACCAAGGCATAAAGTTTGGTCCTTTGAGAAACCGCCTGGAAGGAATAGTTTAACAGGTCATTTGATATGATGACAACAAAGTTCAATACAACTATCCTTAAAGGGTGAGTGATGAATACTTTCAACCAAATAGAAGAATACAATAGAAATATGAATATAACACCACCCACATTACCTGTACAAATCCAGCCAGTTAGACCTCATTCGCTTGGCCAGAAATTTTCCCGGTCCTCTTGTCGATAGACTGGCAAGAAATTCATCAGCACTAAATTCGGGTCGAGAAGGCTCATCAAATGGAGAAGATCCTTCTGAAGGGGTGGTGGTTCGGAAGTATGGCCCAAAAGGTGCCAAAAAGTTGGTTGTAAGCTCCAGGAAGTGCCGACGCAGTATCTCATTGTTAACGACAGACATAGACTCCTCAACCCTTGGTGATAAGCCAGCATCAATAAGCCGATTCAAGATTGACGTGTCTGGCTTCGTTACTGCAGGGTAAGTGCTCCAGATAGCTTCCTTATGTTCTGTCATAAGACATAGTGGACCATCTCTCCTCAACTTGACAGCATTGAGCAAGTTTGACGGAGAGAACTTTTTCAACGATAGCTGCCGAAGTCCAAGCCCTTCAGAAGCGCCAGAAACGCTGCCAGAAGAGGACCTGGACGTCTGGGCAAGCCGACTAACAGCAGGGGTCCCAACTGAGACAATATGAGGAATATTACGAAGGGATTTAAGGAAGAAGAGATTTGTGACCCCCAAAACCATTGGTGGGAAAGTAGCTCCATCTTGAAGTGTGTTTAAGTATGAAAACTCAGGGTCATGAATAGTGAAGTAAGGTCTAAAATCAACACTACAAAGAAGAGGAGCAACCAAACTAACAAGACCAGCAACAGCTTCACAACACTGGGGAGGCGTTGGTGCAATGATAAGAATAGGTTCACCAATAAGTTGCAACTCCCACAACAGCCAGAGCTGCAAAAGAAGACCCCGGAACGTACCAAAGAGATCGGAATCATGGAAAAGACCTTGTGGAACCGACAGATTATTGGGAAGAAAAGGAGCCATAGAGGACGTAGACTCTTCGGAAAATGTCTCACCATCCATTGGCAAACTATGAGCAGGTGGCAAGTGTGCTTTAAGCAAGGCATTTCCTATAGGAAGCTCCATTTGTTTACCAGGTACAGGAGCAGGCCACATTGAAACAAAAGCAGCAATATGCTCAAGAGCCTTCCTCCCAATGTCAAAATATAATGGACCCATGATTTGCAACAGAGGTTTGAAGACAGTAGAATAAGGATTATGAGACAGAATTACCACAGACTTCTGCTCTCCACCTCTTCTTAACCTCTCATCGTGTCTCTGCCTATTAAAAACAAAACCATACATGTACTTAGACCTTGTAGCAACGCTGCTTTTGGATCTTAGCTCGTCCAATTCTGCTTTCTCAGAAGAGGAAACATTCCTTGGTTGAGAAATTTCCTTCCTTCGAACCCGGAAAAAGAATATACAATCGTGAATGCTCGACCGGTTCTGGTGCTGTGAAATTGAATCAGGAAATGAACTAAAAGCAACTTCAAGTTCCTCATCTTGCGTTAGACAGTCTGGAGGGTAGCACTCCTCAATTAGTTGACCTTGTTCAAGATCAAACCTTATAATGCAAAAGGCCACAACCCATTTTTGGAGAGATTCTGGATCCAACTTCACATTAACTTCCGACTTCACAGAAAATGAAGGGGACCTGCTCATTTTGTTGCATCAGTTCCAGGACCATTCCCCCTAATCTTCACTCATCACTCTATCCACTTCCCTCACAAAATTTCCGAGATTTCTACCAATAATCAAGATCCAGGCCGAACAGCTAACCTAATAATTCATGCGTTTTCGCCCACTTGGACACTTGTATTGAATAAAATCAGCCGAAACAATGTACTGGAAAACCTGCATTATATGCCGATTAAAGGAGACGCCGAAAAACTATAATCCCTTAGCAACACTGAAAAGTAGCATGAAAAAGAAGTAAAAGAAACGGATCCTAGATACCCAAATGATCTTCGAAAAACACGTGAAAATTTCACGAGTGAGCTACACTGCTTACATTACCCCTGGTACGAGATATCCACAAATAATAGAAACGAGAATAACATAACGCGACAATATAGTTTGCAGAGATCTACAAGTGGGTCGCGATTTACCTAAACTGACGAACCCAGTAACAACGAAATTCTAGCATGAACCAATCTGGATCGACGAGAAACAAGCATCTGAACGAAAAAGAGCAAACGGGTCATGACAACAACCGAAAAAAGAAAAAATGTAACATAAAAATATAGCGGGAAGAGAGGTCGAAAAGCAAGCAGAAATTATGAGAATGCATGAGAATAAGGAGGCTCTGCAATTGATTGAAGAAAGAACCGAAAATCTAATATCCGAATTGGACTTCAATAGGGGAAATGAGGAAGGGAATTGGATTGAAGCATCTACCTTCCTTCCTCCAAGGACTCCCGAATTCACTGAGAAATGCCAAAGGAACAGGGCTGGAACTGATAGAAATCTACGGATTAATCGTAGAGAGCGTAAAATGCCTTGGGTGAGATTGTTGTTCTTCGGCGAACTTGATTGCGGGCACTATGAAGTGTTGTTCGTGATGTAACATGTAATCGGGTTATCAATCTTGTTCTCCAAGTTGCAGAAATGAGTCGCTTCCAGGAAGAAAACATTCATAATTCTTACCTCCATTGATTGATTATCAAAGAACAGAGTCCTTTTTTCTTTTGTCTTCCCATTTCTTTTAGGGAAAGAAAAAAGAAAGATATTTTATTTTAATCCTCACGACATATCTAATTATTAAATTACACCCTAAAGTTTACCATTTTAAATATTAATTTTCAAATCTTCGAAATTAAAGCAAAAATATGAGTATTTAAATTTGATAAATATATAAAATCATAAAAAAGTGCATTGATTAATAACTTAATAAATTTTCAATTGAGTTTCAATATATATATATATAAATTATTTTTATCTTGGTTAGTATAGGTTTATTAAAGTAAAAATGTTTACATAAATTAGAATTAATTGATTATTATTATTATTAGTTTCTAGTAAGGCGTAGTAGGCTAGCGGTGTTTCGCTCCTCAGTCTTGGACATTTTGGCGTAGGTTGGAGTATGTTTGCTTCAAGTTCATCATGTTGGACCACAACCGAAATCCTCCCTTCTACCTAAAACTGGTCCTCAAAATGGATCCAATTGTACCTCACTTTTCTCAGTCGAACCAGCACATCTTTCTCCAGAGAGGGTTACCTAACCCAGCACATCTTTCTCTAGAGAAGCAACCCTGTTAACCTAACGATTCAATGTAGCAGAATAAGCTTCAAAAGCTCTACCGAGATTCTTAGTTAGAAGCTCTACCGAGATTCTTAGTCAAGTTCCCAAATAAAGATACCCTACTAACCTAATGGTTCAATGAAGCAGAATAAGCTTCAAAAGCTTTGCCGAGATTCTTAGTCAAGGCTCACACCTTGCAATCTTTCTAAAACGCTAATGCCTTGACTTGAAATTTAACAATTCAAATAAAAAAACATTTCTGGAGAGTAATTTGAGGATTATAAGGCATCAAATATGAGAACTTTGGGATTAGAAGTTAATATTGAATACAGAGAGAATTAAGAGAAACAAGCTGAATTGTAACACAGTAGCAACAGCAACTCACCCGTATTCTAATATCATTGCTAATCAATTAATTACCCTCACACAAACCCACTTATTTACATTTGAAGTAGAGCCAAGAGTATCTTTCCTGTATTAGTAATGTCATGAACCACCCCATCACTTCATGTTCTTCACTATCCCCAAAACTCTTATCAATTTGTCATTCTCAACATGCACTTTGATTCCCCTTTAGATTAGTTAAAGATCTATACATCGTATACCGGTAACCGTTCTTCGATCGGAACACGACATATTGGGCACTTTTTACACTTCTCAGAGCAGGAACTGCAATGATATTCATTCACAAGTGTTGGTGAAGCTTGAAGAGGTAATTATATATATGCTTGCTTACCTCCTTCTCAGGACAACAGTAATTCAATAGCATAGAGATGGGGTATTTTGTACCTGCATAGTATGCGATGCCTACACGGAAGAAGGACCACGCTAATTTCTCCCTCGAAACAAACCCGACATAACACCTTTTCCTGTTAAAAGGATCGGGTGGACCAATGAGTTCAACATAATGATATGCCAGTTGATGGAAGATAGAATGAGATCACATGAATAATAGTTAATAATAAAAGGAAGCCTTGGCAAGTTTGTTAGAAACATGTCAGGCGCTGATTCAGCCATTATCTTGGATTGTTCAAATCTGACAAGAAAGGGAGGAGAATTTACATTTTGAAGTCTTTCGTATTCCTGTTGGCTGTACTTGGTGATTTCTGTCTGCTCCCCAAGTGCAGCTTGAAGGCGCCAGACCTGTATGACATAGAACATCAAACACAGGCCAAATAAAACTAGTAGCAGCATCGACAAGGTCATCGTGACAGCTTGTCGTAAACAATAACTATGCTCACCTCCTCAGCAAGATCTTTCTTGGGCATCTTCTTCACAATCTCGGGAGGATATCCACTAAAAGTGTTGTACCTGAGGTCAAACAGGATGCAAAATGTAAATGTATGTAATAGCTTACCACAGACAAGTGAACAAATGATATCAGAACTAAACACTCTTCTACTAAACACTCTTCTATTAATCATGGACAAATTTATCTAAACACAGCATGAGCGGAGCCAAGAAGGAAGTCTGCAGTTTCACTTAGTTTGAACAAATAAGGAACTATGATTTGAGTAGAAATATGAATTCTTGATGAACAATTGTTTGCAATTATAAATAATGTCTATTTGGATGACTTTCCAAGTTAAAAAAATAATTGTTTGCAATTAAAAACAATTTTTTAAGCACTCCATCAAACTAGGCCATGAATGTGGCTCCAATAAGATAGTTGAGTATCTTGACTTACGAATTTTGCAGCAAACCATGAACTTTTCTTAACAACTAATAAAAAACAAGAGAAATCAACGAAGATGGCGTCAAAGTATCAACAGAAGTTATAAATGCATGCCAACCAAACAGTCACACAGGGTTTCTTATTATTGTTGTTATATGCGTTCAAGTTTGTAGTGTATCTATGTAGTAGTGTTCTCACAAAACTATTTGCAAGGGGGAAAAAAAATACCGACCCAGAGGCACCCTCATGGTACAATCGTGCCTGCTCCTCTCGACTGCCTTCATCAATTGACCACCATCCCAATAGCCTGTCTTCACAATATCAAGTAAGTTCATATTTCATGAAGTATATTATAAGCTTCAAGTACACTATATAGACTTGATGACATTATCTTCATTAAAGTGGTAAAACCTCATAAGGCGAGGAAAGAAAAGAAAGGAATAGAATCATAATAAGGATATCACCTTGAACCATGATGAAAGAACTCCAAACAGGCATGAGCCCTAGTAGAAAAACTGAAATACAATGCTGTGCTAGATCCGCCTCTTAAGAGAAGTACAGCTTTCTCTAATAGCCTAGATATAGCATAAATAACGGCGGCGCCTTGCAATAATAGAAGGGGCGAGAAAAGGACAGGAATTGGCAGGTCTTTTGCACTCGCAGGCGTTCCCTGAAATGCAGATATGACTAGATCAAATATCAGAAAATATTAGTCACATGAGCAACTTCACATGTTTTGAACTCAGGGCTGATACTAGTACTTCCCTTCGTTGAAATGATATTTCAACACTTCCCTTGGTTGAAATGATATTTCATAACATGCAAGGTTCATGATTATTAAGGGTGTGGATCCAATACTTATTTAACGATCAGAATCTGAAGAAAGAGAAGTAGAAAGTGCATGTGCATAAGAGATCTGCCTTGAACGTGCAGCATACCTCTAAATACATGCAGAGTAGGATTTGAAAAACAATTATGGGAATTTTCATGATATGGCCTCCAATGTCTTGAAGGCCACACATTCTGTCTTGATGCTGATCCTGCTCTGAATAAGCTATTAGACCACTGTTACAGTCTAGATATCTGACTACTGCAGATGATGAACAACTTTCTCTTGTTTGAATATTTCTATGAATCGCCGGATTAGACCACTTTGTACATACAAGAAAGGCAAAGCACTCGGCAATGCTGCAACCAAAGTATTCAGGGAAAAGAAGGCATAGAATTAAATTGGGCTGGAAAACAAGTAATACATCCTCACAATATTGATTCAATAATGGTAGGCGTAAGCATAATATTGAAACAGGACATTCTAACACAAGAAGGCGCATGAATGTTACCCAAAATTTATAAACAAGTCCCACCAGCCAAGAGCACCAACATTCCCTGTAAAGTTAACACGATGAAAATAAGTTGACAAGATAAGCTCAATGTTTTCAGTCACACGTACATATTTAGAAAAGAACAATCTAGCATTCATACTTTCCTAAACCCTAAACCCTAAACCCTAATTGATCATCAGCAAGCAGCCTCCCTCAACGTTGCTTTCACCGAAGAAGAGGTAGAAAAGGCAATACAGCTCTTGGGCTCTGACAAAACTCCAAGACCGGATGATTTTACCTTAGAAATTTTAAAAAAATGTTGGAACATACCGAGAGTTGATATCATGAGAGTGTTCCTAGATTTTTTTTTTTTAGAATGGGGTGATCGATGACAACTTAAATGAAACATACATCTATTGGGTCTCAAAAAACATGGATGCCCGCATTCTCACTAACTTTCATTCCATATGTCATACAACCCGACTATACAAAATGATAGCAAAGGTGATATCAGAACATCTTAAAAGAGTCCTCCCATTCACTATTATTGGGTAGCAAACAACTTTTGTAGAGGGACGACAGATTCTTGATGCATCTCTCATGGAAAATGAGCTTATAGATGAATGGAAAGAACGAAACAAAAAAGTGTAGTCAATCAAACTTGACTTGGAAAAAGCCTTGGACAAGGTCAATTGGTAGGAAAAGGCTTTGGCTCAAAATGGCAATGTGGATAAAAGGTTGCATTTCATCCACAAACTTCTCCATCATCATCAACGAAAGACCGATAGGGAAGATCCATGACTCGTGGGGTCTTCAACAAGGGGATCCACTATCCCCTGTTCTTTTCGTAATGGTAATGTATTGAGCCGAATTAAGTCTCGATATTGCCTCAGTCGTATTGTCCAAAGAAGCAGACTCATTGACATTGCTTCCTAGCACTAACATGGTCTTCTCTACAAAATCTTGGATGATAGACATAGGGGAAAAGGTAGAAGCAATAAACCCCACGCTAGCAAAGACAATATGGAAAGGAAATTACCCTAAAAAGGTGAACATTTTCTTTTGAAAAATAGCACATAAAGTCATTAGCACAAGTGAAATCTACACAAAAGAGAGAAAAAAAAAAAAACGCCTTATATGACTCAATTCCCAAGTTGGTGCCAATTATGCAAGAAAGACAACATATCACATAAGTCACTTCATACACTCAGAATTTCAGGACAAAGATTCTTAATATTTCGGATAGCATCTCACTTTTCCTAGGAAGGTAAAGGATTTATTAGACATAGCCAACATACTACCCTTTCAAGAATGCAAAAGCCTTACTATGGAAAAATCTCATCATGGATATATTTTGGAATCTATGGAAGGAGAGAAATCAAAGAGTATTCACAGAGAAGACACAGACTTATACAAAACTTTTCGACAATGTTGTTTACCACGCTATATTTTGGTGTAAATCGTCTGA